AGCCTTGGTGGCCAGCTGCTTGCGGGGCGCCTTCCCGCCCGTCGACTTACGCGCCGTCTGCTTCGTGCGCGCCATGGCCAAGGAAAAGCACAAAAACCGGGAAACCGAAGAGAACAAATGGAAGCAGCCCGCTGCCGCGGCCGCTTTTATAGGCTGTTCACGCTCTCTCATTGGCTGCCGGAAACGCGCCGCTCCTATTGGTTGATTTAAAGCTGGAGAAGCCCGCCAGGAAAGCGCGCGCTTTCACCAACGGCTGCCCGCGCTCAGCCCCCGCCCGAGCCCCCCCCGGTCTCGGCCCCGCCGCTTTCGTTCTAAGGGTGGACTTTGTCTTTTCAGTTTTTACAGCCTCCTTGAAAAATCAGATCCTTACCAAAAAAAAGGTTCAAACTGGAAATGAGAAATTGTAAATTATGCCGGGCTGAGTGCGTAGGAAATTTATGCTTTTCTCGAATTGACTTTTTTTTATTATTATTTTTTTTTTCTCTGTAAATTGGAACCACAACGATATTTTGGGGCTTGGATTTTCGTTACTATGGGGTGCATGAGGTTGTGTATTGTGAGGGAGTTTTGGTGGAAAAGGCTGGGTTTCACTTAGTGTAACTTTCATCTGGTAAGGTAAATGCTTTGGTGTCAAAATTAATTGCAAATTAAAGTTTCCTAATCCAAGAGAGAGTGTTTTCAAACGACTAAATCTTTCAGCATTGCGAAGTTTCCTGAGGCTGTCGCTAAATACAGCAAGGCCTAAGGTGAATTTTCCATTTTCCTCGTTCTACATCTGCAGTGTTTCCCTATTCGGGCGAGCTGCCTTTGGAGCCCGATCACAGAAGGGTTTTCAGGTGAAGGGGAGGAACAGACACCAGGTACAGAGAACACCTCCAGCACCCCAAATTTAAAGTGTGTTCCCTAACCTTAAACACAGAGGAATCACAAGTAATGGACCATTTCCTACACACCACATTCAGAGGACGAGGGGGATCACTTATTCAGAAGGGACTTAGGGAGCTCATACCTCTCACAGTGAACTGTAAAAACATTAATTTAAATATAAATAGGTATCTCCTTGTACTGTTTACACAGCGAGGGGGAAAACCCCCCCACAGAAGAGATCCCCGCAGGGAAACGTTTAGATGCCTTTAAGCCTCCTACACTAAGCAGGAAACTACATTTGGATTGTTTTACTATTTTTTCAGCTAAGCACTTTCTTACTAAGTACTGCCCCTATCCAGTCCTGAGCATAAAACGCTCAGTTACCAGCAACACTTCATGTTTCATGTGCTTAACTAAAATGGCTTTCAACGTATTAACAGTGAGATTTAGTGGACAGTGAATGAAAAAAAAATTATGCGTTTGAAGTTAAAACAGGTAACATTTCTCTTTGAAGCAACACAGCTCTTTTTCAGCTTATGTGTGCGGCTCTTAAAAGAGCCTTTGGGTTCTTGTCCAGATGGTTCGGTACGAGCCGATGGTTCGGCTTTAGCCGCCGAAGCCGTACAGAGTGCGGCCCTGGCGCTTGAGGGCGTAGACCACGTCCATGGCGGTGACCGTCTTCCTCTTGGCGTGCTCCGTGTAGGTGACGGCGTCGCGGATCACGTTCTCCAGGAACACCTTGAGCACGCCGCGCGTCTCCTCGTAGATGAGCCCCGAGATGCGCTTGACGCCGCCGCGCCGAGCCAGGCGGCGGATGGCCGGCTTGGTGATGCCCTGGATGTTGTCGCGCAGCACCTTGCGGTGCCGCTTGGCGCCTCCCTTGCCGAGCCCCTTGCCGCCCTTGCCTCGACCGGACATGATGGAGCCGCTGCTGCTGGTGCCGCTGTGAAGCAGCGCCGCCCCCGCCGCCGCCTTTATGCGCTGTGGTCGGACCTGGTTGAGAACTGCACAGCGGAGTTGGGGGGGGAGGGGTTTCCCGCCATTTTCCCTGCGCGCGTCACCGGTGGTGGAACCTCGTTCGCCGCTCCCTCCAGGGTGCTGCAAAGTCCGGCGAGTAAAACAGAATAAACCTCCCCCGCGCAAAACATGCCAGCGATGTTCCTGTTATACAGTTGGAAACCTTTCCCAGCCCTCCCCTCAGATTTGTATAAACCCTTCGCGTTTTTGCGCCTATTTTGTTGTATTGGCAGGGGTTGGTGTGAATGTTTTCAAATTCCCACAATTTTCATTCTGATGCTCGTTAATAGTTTCGGTTAATTTGTATTCAAAGCGATATAAATGCTGTTTCAGAATTTTTAATGATTTCAGGTCTCTTAAAAACTCTAAATAAGATTTCACCAAATTTAATTTTGTTGGTTTCTTTATTTTGATTTCTACCTCCCATTTCCTAACTATTCCAATTTCACATTAGCAACTTTTTGTCTGTAAATGCATATTGACCAGAAGGTGGAATATAATCTTCTTTATATTATTAAAGTTATATTGGTTTGTGACTTCTGCTAATTTTGCTCACTTTGAGTTACTGCAGTGGGGTAATTTTAGAGGTTTTTTTACAAAATTACCTTTATTATAACTACACACTGAAATTTCTGCTCCTTGATTAGGAAAAAGAAATCACTCTGCTTTTCACTATAGATTAAGCTTTTAAATTCTCCTCTCCTCTCCTCTCCTCTCCTCTCCTCTCCTCTCCTCCAGTTCTGGAAACAAAAGATATTTGAATTATCTGTTGTGAAAGTCAGTAGTGGTCTTTGTTTTAGGATGTTCCAAATGTCATCATGTGAAAACATCCTGAACTCATACAACTGAAATCTTATGGGTAAAAAAAAATTATTTTTCTCTTGTCCTTTTATGTCTGAAGGGCAAACATAATTTCTACGTACTTTCTATGTACTTTTAACACTTTTAAAGTGTTAAAGTTTAAAAAAATCATTCATTATATGCTACTAGTACCTCAGGGTTTGAATTTGTGTCAACATTAATAAAAAATAATATTGCCAGACATTGTATTTTAAGAACATATATGAATAAAATTCTGGAAATACATTTGTACTTTCAAACTAATGGTTTTGAATTTTATGTAAACATTGGATAAGTTTTCATATTCCTTTTTTTCCACCCACTGGCAGCTGGTGCTTCCTTTCCTCCTCAAAATATTCTCTGTCACTCCCAAAGGAAGAACAGAAATGCAGCGTGACCTCTGTGAGTGAGACAGGTACAGATCCCTGCTTTGCACTGTGTTCATGCTCTTGTGGTCTGCCAGGCTGAATGTGATCATATCTGAGAACACAGATCTCATCTGCAGGAAATAAACAAATTCTCCCCTTGTACTTGAGCACTTTTGATGGACCAGCATATTCCCATGAGAGAGGAGAGCTCGGAGGAGAAGGCCACAACCACAGTGAGCTGGAGAAAAATGACACTGTAAAGAAAACTGCACTTATTTACACATCAGGGAGGCTGAAGAGTTACCATGGTTTTAGACAAGAGAGCTGCACCAGTGAATCATCAGATTTCCTCCGATGATTAAGAGAGCAACGTCTTCCTGAGCAAGCCGGATGGAAATGAGGGGTGGGCAGGATGGGCCGTGTGCATGTGAATCAGCCCAGTGTAACTTGTAAAACTGGAGAACAAATAGAAAAGTTTGGAGGTAGAAACAGGCTTAAGATGATTTCAACCAACATATTCCTTCACAGGGATTGGGCAGGGGGGGCAGCGTTAATATTGAGCATATAGAGACAAGTAATGAAAATTTCACTTCTGCAGTCATTCAAATGTGTATTGCAAATGCTTTATTATGCTTGGCTGCAATTTCAGTACAGTATCCTTCTGCTAATTACAAATACAATGTAACTTCAAATATGCTCATCAGGAAAATCTGAAATTAAACATTAAACCCTTCTCATGTAATATCTGAAAG